TTAAAGCTTATGTAAACCAATGATTAATAATAAATGGGTCAGCTGTTTTTTGTCTGTTTGAGTGAAATCATGCCGATTGATTAGATAGCTATCGACAGTACTCAAGTTGAGGGGGGGAATGAGGGGGTTGGCATCCCCCTTTTTAAAAAAAATCTTAAAAAATCATCCCCCTTCTTAAACGGCCATCCCCCCATACCATCCCCTGTGACATTTTATTACTGAATGTGTAAAATTTCTACTATATATTAACAGTAATGGCAATAACATTGCCCTTTCAACATTTGACGGGCTGTGGCTTACGTGTAGCCTGAGCAAAATAAATAAAACCAAAGAAGTGTCCTACCATGACTATGAAGCTGATCCCAGTAAAATTAGTCCCTAATTAGATAGGGGCAGTGATAGCGATGCCAGTCTATGGACTGACTGCAGTTCTACTGTAAGGTGACATGGTCAAAGGTCAATGACCGGCGTACTTGACATGTAACAACCATACCAGGCATATTGCTTTCGGTCGATAGACTAAAGTAATTATGCTCTGTTTACTTCCAAAGAAAAAAAAATCCATCATCCCCCTTCTTATTTTTTTTTACAACTAGACCACTGGATACAGGAGCAATGTGTGTCTTACAACTCTTGTGCAACTCTCCTTTACATAACATTGCAAAATTCTCCTCCAGTTTCCTCCACAGTTATACATCTACAGTGTTCATTTCCATTCTTTTTAATATTGCAATCCATCCCTATTTTTTTTTCTACATAGCATTTTTTACATTTATTTTCTCCTTCCAACTTTTTTGATAAATGCATGCCTTATGCAATTACTTAACTTTATTTGTCCATTTTGTGCCCTGATTTGTTCTTGTGTACAAGTTCTGCCTTTATGATGACAATAAAGACTCTATTTATGCATATCTATCTAGATAACAGCAATATGAATATCAAATATCAAAATTAGACCAGATTTTCATATTGGTGTGGCCGTAGATTTCATTAATTATATATTTAAATGTTACGTCTATGGATTTTTCATGCTATTTAACTAATACAGAACATGTATTGGAAAGTGTTTCAATTAAGCAAATCATTTTAAAGCTAAATACATGCAGAATGTTTATGTTCGGAATTAAGGACACAGAGCTCTGATATTTATGAGATGTTATGGTGTCATAGTCAGCTACTATGATGATGAGGAAGGACAATCAAAGGTTTATCAATATTTTACAATCCTTATCTTTAGGCCTGTCACAAAAAAATACAATAAATAAATCACATTTTATTTGTATGAGAATTTTAAAGAAGCAATATTAAATTTTTTTGGATAGAATGAACAAAATATTCATAGTAAATAGTGAAGTGAGGAAATAAAGCTAGATATTTTGGATGGAATATGGTGTGACGTTACAAGTCCTCTCTCTGTGATGGTCTCCAGTCTCTTGTTCATAAGCCGGGTCGGTTGCGTGTGTCGAACATCCATTTGAATAACGGTCTGCCCCCAGGGTTAAGTCCCTCCCTGACAAAAAATGCCACTGCGAGAGATTGTGTGGTTTTTCTGTGGAGTTATCCTTTGCAAATATGCACAAATTAGAAACGGAGGGAAAAGGGGGAGGATTCAGGAAGAGAGAGGTGTCGTTTGTCACACATCTTTCTTTGGTTTACATAAAGTGCTCAACAGCGCACCTAGTGGTAAAAGAATTCGGTAATTTCTTTAAATGAGCTCAACAATTTACATTTGTATGTTTGTTTGTTTCCCTTTGGTCTCGCTCTCTTCCTACTAAAGAGTCTAGATGACAAAAATTTTACTCTTGTGCATCCGTCTCCACTCACTGTTCTCTTTATTCTTCTTTAGCGTAGCAAGTTTAGCCTGGGAGCCTCGCCGCAGAGATTTGGAAAAACAGAGATGGAATTGGTTTTCAAAGCTGCAGTTTGAAAGCACTTTGGATTAAAACCCAATGACAATGTTATTGTTTATCGCAATAATTTCTGGGATAATTTAGTGTCAAGCAAAATTTATGACAGGTCTACTCATTGAAATAAATCAATTCAAATTTCAAACTTCAAGTGGAATGTAAAAAAAAAAAAAGAAGAAAAATGCATCCAATGTCCAAATCCTGCTGCCTGTAGTAACATTTAATTCCCTATAGATTCTTAAAGTGCATTCTGAAAAAACTTAAGAGGTTGCCTATTTATCAAAACAGCTACAAAGGGATGTAAAACCGGATCATCAGTCTTGATGAAAATTCCCTAATAAAATCTGACAAAAATGTATTGTTACACATAACAAAATGATGCTGTTTCACAAACGAGCAAATCATGAAATGAAGGTGGAAAATTGGAAAAGAAAAAAAATGTCTCTGGATCAAAGGGCCACCAAAAAAAAATCAATCTTTTTAACAAACTTAAATACTTGAGTGTAACTGTGGTATAGTTATTTATTTATTTATATTATTCCTTCCTGCCTTTGGTTTCCCTGTTAATGAAAAGCAGCTCCCACAGCATGATGCTTCCAACCATGTGACCTTATTGCGGTGTGTTCAGGGATTTACATTTTATTCAATAGTTTATTTTTAAAGCCAACCCCAAACATTTTATAAAACCAAACAATGGTGTTACTTTTCTGCCAGCTTTGATCTCATCTGACTGTTTCACACTTCCTAAAGATTTCGCTGTGTCTTCTACATGACTTGGGGTCAACTTCTTAAGGCCAATTTATGCTTTTGATGCATAGCCTCTGCAAACGTCAAATCTGTCTCTGTGCACTAGGGTTGTCACAATACTAAACTTTTCAACTCGATACCGATACTAAGGAAAATATTCGATACCACAAGGATAAAAACAAAGACTCCAAAATTCTACAGAAATATTTCTTTAATAAATAAAATACAATAAATAAACACAATAAAGGTTGTATGCTGTGCACAATGTTAAGCAAGCTTGATAAAAAACTTATAAAATTGAAATTAAGTGTTCCTTCCTTGGCTATGCTTTGCACACATAACAATGACACTAGCCAAACCAGTTAAGAAACAAAAATAATTCTCAGCAGCTGCACCTCTTACAAAAAAAGTCTGAAACTGAAAAGTGCACAGAATTATTCAATCACACAGTGTTCTGAAAGTGCATTGTCCTCTATTCTGCACTTTAGATGAATGACTGCTTAGGTGCCACTGGTGGTGGCACTGTATCGATACTTTTAAAAATAAGTATTGTATCCGGATACAACATTTCAGTATCGATACTTTTTTGAGTTTCGATACTTTTGACAACCCTACTGTGCACAAAAAAATTCTGACTAAGCGTCGGACGGTTGCAAACCTGCGCAGACCTCAAGTGGAAATGCGCAGACAAAAAGCAGCTGTGACTGGTCCTTGGTATGCCTTTCCAGCTGTCTGTGTGGTCGTCCTTCTGGGGTGCGCCATTTTTTAAAAACCGAGGAGCAACTACAATGGACAACTACAACGAAAGGTTAATCGGTCTTTTTGCCAACTCCATTAACAGAACCTGTTCCTCTTTGATGTCTAGCAATTCTAGATTCATCTCTGTGACCGTGATATCTTGCAGACGCTCCATTGTTGTTTTGGAAGATAAACACTCCCGCCAGTGCCCCTAATTTCTCGTGCCATCCGCTGAAGTTCTCGTGATCATCCGCTGAAATTCTTGCGAGTTCTCAAATAGGCTCCCCCTAGCGCTTTGGCAGGAAACTGCGGTGTGTCCCTAGAAATTGCAGACCGAAGGTGCAGAAGCATATCAGCAAAACTGGTTTGCGACCAGACCCAAGTGACATTTGATGTGTGTGGTTGCAGAAGTCTAATCAGGCCTTTAGACTTTCTTAGACCTCAAACAACAATTTTCTTCCAGCCACTGTGATTGGCGTATGACCAGTAACAGTATGCTCCTCTGAAAAATGCTCCCCTTTTTTCAGCTTGTCAGTTTTACGTGTTTGCAGTGTGCAATCCTACCCTCAAATCAGCTTTAGATGATGGATTGAACAGCGCTCTACAAGATGATTAAAATTCTTAAATCTCTAAGATTATTTTACCTGTTGGCTTTTCTGCTGTGTTCAGCTTTAACAGTAGAATTTGTTCCCAAATTTTCTAAGACACATATAATTCCTCCACAGAATAGTTGAGTTTGAACTACTAATTACACGCCTTCTGAGGCAAATTGGATTTTAATCAGGGGTGTCATAGTAAAGCAAGCTGAAAAAAAAACAAAAACGAATGACACATTTTCAGAATTTTCTCTTAACATTTGGAAAACAAAGGCATTTAATCACATTTCACAATAAAATACATTTAAAGTTGTAACTTGACATAATATTCAAAGGCTGGAAGTGGTTTTGCAACAGTAATATAAATGGTTAATGATTTATTCATCGATTGAATTTTGGCACTATTGGGACCCCATATCATTATCCCACTTTTATCAGTGTTGAAATTAATCTGATATAACTGGAATAAGACAAACTAAGGAGGGTGTTTTGTTTTTTTTTTCCCTTTATTGTTATTAATGTTTTTTTCTTAGAAAATCAGGTTATATTTTGGAAGTTTGGTGAAAGTAAAAAAATGCAAAATGTTAAATTATGATTATTTAGATATAAAATAAATCAGCTCTTCTCATCCTGACATATTTTGGTATCATGTTCTAAACATCAGAGCAAACAGTGTGTGGGAGCGTGTGTTATGTATGTTTGTTATCAACCACTGCCCACAGGATAAACTGTAACAGTCTATTTTTTAATGCAAAGCAATAGATCACAGTAGATATCAATGCACAACAGATAACTTAGGAAGAAGTGCCTCATTAGCAGCTTTCTAATCTGGTCCCTCTCTAATCACGCACTTACAGAGCCACTTGTGTCTGCTCTGATTCAGGAAAGCATACATTAGAACAAATCAGCCGAAAACAAACCGCAAGCTTTGCCTTCTTTGTTTTTCTATTTGAGATATGCACATTTCACAAAGAGCTGACAGGCTTTATCTCAATAAGATAAGGTTACTCACTCAGTCAGTGATTTTTGGGGGTAAAAGAAATGATGGAACCGGGGCCCATGTATATATCCACCCACCAACGACGATGTTTTCATTGCAGCAAGCGGCTACAGTAACTGGATCGTGCGGCTGACCAAGCTGCAAGCGCATCGCCTAGGCAACAGCTTTGAAGGGCGCCGCCGTCGACCAATCAGAGGCGCTCCGAACCTTTGTTTATACACACGCCCCCTTCTGTAAGGACCAATCAGAGAGCGCTAAGGCTTCACCGGGGAGAGAGGAGAAGGGAAAGGACTAAACTGTGTCTGTGAGGCTGTTTTCGTGTGAAGTGGGAAATGATTGTTCCAAATTCACTATTACATAATTCACAATATCACACCCTGTGTCCACTATGATGACATCATTCATCCAGGGGTCAATGGGACTTGAACCAGCAACCAGGGTGTAACTTTGTGATGAATTTGGTGGGGACACTCTTAGGGTGGGGGCTGATGGAGGGTTTATGTTTTCTAAAAATGAGCTCAAACATATATTAATTGAATGCTTTCCTATTATTGAGAACACAAAAAACCCAAAATACACTGATATTTATAGGTAGTTAGACATTAATGTATATAAAAAAGGATGAATAAGTCCTTCAAAAGCTGCAAAATCAAATCTAGAAATTTGACCCACATATTGCCAAACTCAATGTAATGAAATTATTGATGGGACTGTCCCTACAAAACTATAGGAATGGTCTCATGTGTTTGCCATGGAGTATTAACTAACATTTTCTCTCACCTGCAACATGAAGGGTTTCTGGTTGTATGATGCTTGACTGATAGCTGCATGAAATCTATGCTCAGCTATAAACAAATGTAAACATAGATGGATTCTCTTGCTGTTCTTTTTTTTTCAGTGGGGAAAATTAGGAACAATATCTCAACAACATTTATCTGTATGCCTCTATCCAACTTTCACCTCCTCCTCAAACTTTCTCAGCATTTATCTTTACTTCTGCTGCCACCCTCAGGATTTAACTGAAACTTAAATCCAGCCAAGGGCGTAGGTTTGATTTCAACTTTAGTAGGGA